GTCCAGTGCTGCTACTCAGGGTGTATTATATTGTCACGTTCTACTTTCAAATGAAATGCAGTTAAAGCTATTTTAATTTGGTGAGTTCCTATTAAACTTGTCCCCTTTCATTTTATGTTACTTGCACAATAAATGCTGAAAGAAATAAAGGGAGTTGCCCACATAACAGGAGGAAACAATACTAAAAGCTTGCTCACCACAAAACTACGAGAGAACTTGCTGTGACAAAGTTCATGATGGACTTTTGGAACAGCCCATCAGTTCTATGTATGTTGCTTTAAAATCTATTCACATTAATTGTTAGTGTACTTTAAAATCAGAATAATAAAAAAAAAAGAATATACCTAATGTGGCCAGCTTACAAGACTGAATAATCCAGGCAATGTGATTGTTAAGGCCAAACTAAACAAAATTGATATCAACATCATCATCATCTGAGAATCACATTCAGCTAGGGATGACATACAGTTTTTGCCTTAAGAGAAAAAATAGATTTTATTTCATTGATACTTCTATTTAATTATAAAGAAGTTAGCATTATTCTGTAATCATGAATGTAATAGTTTTATTCTATTACATTAAATTTTACAATGTGATAACTTTTGGAGATCTTTGGAGGCAGCACTCAAAATCTTGGGTTGTGCATCTCTATCCAGAATCAACTCCCACCAGACCAGCAAAATCAGATTTCATGCACATTGATGGAGAAATTAAATCTTATAAACTTTATTTTTGGTCAGTAGCTGTCTTCATGCTTATCACTGCCAAAGACTACTTTTCCTAAATATACTTAGTTTTTCTTGTAAAAATATTTGATAGCCTTAGTATGTTCAAGAGTGTATGTGAATATGTATGAGCTTAGAATGTGCATCCCAAAATAGAAGAAAAATGATCGAAGAGATTGTCTTTGAAGTGGTTAAGACAGTTGGGCTTAAAACTGACTAGAATCAAACTAGCCTTGGGGAACGGGACTGCTAAAACGTTAGTGGCTCTTATTGCTATGAATGTATGTTACTAGTTTCAAATCCATAACGGTTATGAAATAAGGCTTAGATAATGCCTTCTCTTTTTCTCCACTGAAATTCAGTAAGCTATATCATGTAATTATCAGATAAACTGAAATATGAACAACCAGACATGTTTTATCATCTGTAGTCCTTCTTCACTGTAACAAACTGCATATTCATGACTTGTTCCTGTTTTTTCTTATTTGTAGCCTTAAATTGGCTTAAGTTGTTGCCCCCATATGGATTTTGGGATTTTTCTTTGACTAACAAGTTTGTTACTGCTTCCCTTTCTCATTTATCCATATGTCTAATTCAAAATTATACAGGGAAATTAACATTGTGGAAATTATCTTGAATATTTATATTAGCATTTTAATGTTGACATATTATTGCAAGACCATTGGCGTATCTCATCTATGGAGCATCTTGGACTTTAGCATATTGTTACTGTATACAGTTTAGCAGAGGTGTAATCCCTGAATGATTTTAAATAATAAACATGATAAAATGTAGTAAACTTGAGTTAAGTTTAAAATAGAATAGTTTATCCAACTGTAGCTGGGAAATGGAAAAAATCATCCAGGAAAAAGGCAGTGGCAAGCCACTAATGCATTGTTGCCAAGAAAACTGTATGAAGCAGAAAGCTCAACTTGAAATAAACCTTTTTAAAGAAAATACTGCACAAGTTACCCATTTGCACAAATTCACAGTTAAAACAACTATAAATGCCATGAACAAGTATCAAGCTCAGTACCTTTACTGAATATTTCTTGGTTGTTGTGATTTCGGAGTTCAAAATATAAATATGCTTGACTTGGAAAGCATTTAAATGTTTTGAATATATATATAAAATAGCTATATATTGTTCCTATGGTACATAAATTGCCTTTAGACAGGAAACCAATTTAAGGAATCTGCTGATTATGTATTTTATTCAAGGAAATTGCATTTCAACTGCTCACCAGATTCAGTGAAGTTATACTTAGTTGTAAACTGTTCAGATTGTTTTTGAAGTAAAAGCAAAATCTTTTATCAGCTAAAGCTGTGATATATTCCCCTTCTATTTTATATAAACATTCTATTAAGAATGCAGCATTTGGAAAAAAAAAAAACCCTGTATTTTCTGTTTCTTCCTAAGTATTATTTACAAATTAAAACGAAATTGAACAGCACAGTTAACAATACTGGTAACATAATATTAGGTTAATGCTATATTAGCACTTTGTGTTCATGCAGTGTTAAGCATTAGGTTAAATTAATAGATTTACTGTGGTATGAAAAATGCTAAGTCTTTTCAAAGCAGTAAGATGTAATAGCTAATACCTTTTTTGGTATATTGACCTGTAAACCTGTTTTGTAGAGGTCAGGTGGCTTGGGAAAGAGCATGATCTGTTTTCTTTAAAGGGACAAAATGTGGGTATAACTAGATATTTAGCTAAGCATTTTAGCATTTTGCATCTAGAAGATATAAAAAATGCTGGAAAACCAGTTAAAACATACAGTACGTCATGAGGAAAGTAACACAACAGGCAAATGTTTAATTATTGCTGAATAATTTAATGGGCTTTAATAATAATGTCAATATACTGTAGGTACTTGAAGTTAATATAGATTTTTAAAAGTAAAACAAAAATGAATTAGAATTATTAGGCAAAAAGTAGTAGTGAAGAGAAAGCTAAATGCAGTTATTTTTAGGTTCAGTACACAATCAAGGACAATAATTTTCTCTCATTGGATCATTATTCTCCAAGGAATTTCCTTGGAAGGTTTTGCTATTAAAAAAAAAAAAAAACAACAACCCTGAAAGCTGCCATAGAATCTGCCCCAAACCCAATATTTATTAAGAATGAACTGGATGGAAGTAAAATGAATAGAGTTAATAAATTTATTAATATTTACAATTCATACTATACTTTTTTGCACATATATCACTCAGATAGTTAGAATTTAAAATGCACAATATTAATCTCATACTAAAGATTCTAGTGCCTTGTTTTTATGCAGGGTTCCTAAGAAGTATGTTCCACTACATTTAATGAGATGAAAAGTGCATAGGACAGCAACTACTGTATATCTGGTTTTCCAACATGACCATTTGGTAACATGGTATGTTGAGAAGACATCCACTGAAATATCTTTACAGGTAGTCCTTGTTTAGTGACCACAGTTGGAACTGGCAACTTAGTTTTAAATGAAGCAGTTGCTAAGTGGAACCTCAACTGTGCTTATGATTTTACTTCAGCTTTTCTTTGCTTTATAGACCTGCGAAGATTGTAAATGTGAAGATTGGTCACAGTTACTTTTTCATCACTGTCGTAACTGCAAATGGTCACTAAACAAAGTAATCACTGAGGACTACCTGTATTCAAGGAGAGTGAGCTTTATTAATTATTCATTTCTTATAGAATTGGCTATGTAGTTCTTTTTACCTTTTGATCATTTTTTTAGAAATTTTTATTGTTAAAGAAATTCCTTGTCTAGTTGATTTCTAGTTATTGCAAATAACACTAATTTTTTAAAAAAACCTTCCAAATGCTTTTTGAAGTTCCTGTGCTACTAAAGGTATTTCATTATAAATTAATGAAATACATTTTCATTAAATTATTAAAAAGAAAATCAGGCAAGAGCAATTTTTAAACCAAGAGAAATTTTATTTTAAAAAATCTGAATGTTTACAAGTATAGTTTCATAAAAACATTTCTGCGGAAATAATTGAATATTATAACCATTCTGAGTGTCACATTTTTTCAGAGCAAATCTAAGACCCCTGTGTGTCATCAGAAAATACCTTCAAAAGAATCTGTGAGGTCACCAGCTTCCATGCCTGATTGCATCTTCCTGAACAGTACATGTAATACTGATTTCCCCCCCAACGTGATAGTATGGTATTCTGACATGTGAAGAGCTGCAGCAAGGATTATCTTCAACTAAACCACAGTGCATGGCTATTCAGTATCCGGTACAGTCAAGAATCATATAAAATAAGTACATATTTGCTCCATTCCTCTCCAAAAGACATTACAGTTATAAATAGTAGAATGGTAATATAATAATTGAAGATCAAAATGTCAGCAGTTTCACTTAGGATCAAAACATCCCCAAAAGTCTGATCATATTCTAACACCATTTGAAAATCATTCTAATGGGCCAAATGATGTTCCCTTAAATACAATCAATCAATCAATCAATCACACACACATATATTATTCACACACAAACTACAGGTTTGGAGTGAGTGTTACTCTCTACATATTTTAAAATTATTCTTACAGTACTTGCACTGAACTTATTCACTGGCAATGACAATCAGTTTTTTTTTTTTTTTTAAATCCTTGTTTTCTGAGTACCTACTAAGGCATTCTTTAGATTCTGAACTGGAGCCACACCCTTAACCCTAAAAAAGAGTACAAAATTTAACATCCAGCTATATTGCAATGCTTAATAAGGAGCTCCTCTGTGTATGCTTTTTCCTTATCCATTCTGCCATTTCACTGAAACACATAAGCCTGTTTCCTCTCACACAATGAATGAGAAAGATCCTGTAAGAAACTTCAGATATATATTAGAAAACTGTAATAGCCACCAAAGATACAAAACAATTTATTGTTCTTTATCACTGAATCAATAATCTTGATCCTATAGATTGTTTAGTTATGGTCACATCAACAGAACAGTGATATTTTTAAAGTCTGTAACATAATAAATTAACAAGTTTTAACTTAAAAAAAATCTTTGTATGAAGTAGATGAATAAAAAATAAAAACTGATGATTCATTAATGACATATAAAAATTAACTATTAAAATGGAGGCTAGAATTTCTCTTAAACTTGGATAATAAAATATTCTACTTAAAACATCTAAGGTGTGAAGAGAAATTTATAATACCATAAATAACAAATATCATGAAAACTGGTTTTTATCCAGTGGTGATCTCCCTTTTGCCTATAAACAGTTAATCTGTTAAAGGATAGGTAGATTTTCAGATTTTTTTCTTTTTTTAGAAATCTGTTCCCAAGAAGTCTGTGCAGTATTCAGAATAGTATGTGAATGGTGTAATGGGCTTGCAGTGAGAAAGGAATCTCCAAATTTTATTTCTGTAGTACAACTTGCTGCAGTAAACATGACAGAAAGGACTTTTCATTTGTGGACTGAATTTCTTTGGCAATGCATTTCTATGGTTGTGATGTGAGTACTCTTGGATATTATCCCAGCTTTCTCCTTCAAAAACATTTCACTTTGCAAATCAGTGTAATCAGAACCACAATATTTTTAACATATGCAAAGAGCTTCACCAAAAAAATATTCAGTGGGTTCTAGACTTGCATGGTAGATACTGAATTAACAAAGTAACAGGAAGCATGGCTTTGAAGCGGAACTGTACAGGTGATTTTTATCAACTAAATTCTCCACGATTCTTAATCATCTTAAACAGTGTAGCGTTTATGCTCTAATGAGGTCTCTGCAGCGAACATTTCCATAAATATAAATGTAGGGTAAACTTGATAAAGAATGGTAGTAACATTTTGACCCATTTCATTATCAGTCCTGGAATTTGTAACTAGAAAATGTGCTTACTGATCTCCCTAAAAGTGAACAATATTCATGTCATTTCAAAGGAAGTCATGGACAATTTCAGTAACAATACTTTATGTAGCTTGCTCTTAACCTGTCTGCTGAGATTGCATATAATGTTGAATTAAACTGAGATAAATTAGAAAAAGTCCATTAAAAAGAAAGGAAGAATCCTACTTATCCCCAGAGAAAGTTTTTTTTACAAATGTGCACATAATGAAAAAATGAAATGGAAAAAGAACTCCAGATTTACTGGCTTCTTCTTTAGTCAGACTGATATTTTTCTAATATATTTACAAATCATAAATGGCACTAGTTATGCAAAAGCAGATTTGCTTAACATGAGTTCATATATATATATATACACAGCACTGAAGGAATTTGCAAAGAGATTTACAAGGTGATTAAAAAATCATACAACGTAAGAGCTCATAGAAATTGGCTTTTTAACAGTTTTAATATAAAAGGTATTTTTTGAAAACAGTCGTAACATGACTATAAAAGCACCATTCATATGTTGAAAAGTGTGTTTATATCCCCAAACTCCTGAAATTGGAATTCTTTCACTCAGTAAAAGGATTTACTAAATAAACAATTTGACTACACTGCCTCATATTGAGACCCTTTTTTACTCACCTATTCGTAACATATCAGATTTTTTTTTCCTTTTAAATTACAAAGATAGTTTGGAAGAAAAAACATGCAAACATTTAATGGCTATATAATATTCAGCACAGTAGTTTATAATAATACCATTCTTGTTCAGCTAAGTATGTAAATCCACCAAGATATAGTCATTCAAGTGCTATGCAATGTATTTTATTGCTGAACATAAATAATAACAAGGCACAAGACAGCTACTAATCCAAGAGCTTGTAGACCAAGAAACCAGAGCATAACCCAGAAGAACAGGATTATTACAGGTTCCACAATCCTTTCACCAAAATACATCCTTGTGAATCCTATCCTTATGAGGCTTTTGTTGAGCTCACCAAACAGAGTCCCCATCTTTTTATAGTCGTCGGTAATCAATTCAGTATTATTTTCCCTTTCTTCTTGCAAGACCTAGAATCGGAAGAGAAAAAAGATTACTAACCTATATTGACAAAACTCTATGATGTTAATCCTCCTTTTTAAAATGCAACCTTGCGTGCAGAAATACTTTTTAAAACAACTTTCTGAAAGGTCACAATGTGAAATCTTCTTGCCATGATTAACTAGCAATGTTTTTCATTATTAAACAATTATCTTCCTTTCAATAGTATTATTTTTCAACATACAACAAAGTATTTTATTAATGTGCTACAATATGAAATTGTTATATATGAAATATCTTTTTCTCCCAATCTGTTTCAGTCATTACCTAATTCTACACAAAGGGACTTGTAGTTTGTATGGATATATATTATATGGGATTTAATTCATTTTTCAACAGCTCCTATCTTTCAGTAGTCTGGTTTCAAGTTGAGATTAGGGGAAAAAAATCATATTACTATACATCTGTTTTCCTGAGATATGCACCAAGCAGCTCTTTGGTTGCAATGCAAATATGAGTTATTGACACTTAGTAGGAAAAATAATTAAATCCCGTACTCTGATTATTAGGAAAAGTCACAAGTTTTCTGGTATTTCAAACAGTAAAGCATTTATCATATCCACACACAATGGTCATTCAATATTCCTGGCCCCAGCACATGCTGCATGCTGGTACTTGGTGGCTAGCAGTTTGTATTTGGCTCCTCCAAATTGTAGGCATAGCAAAGAAAACTAGATACAGCGGTCCTTGGTTAATGATGTAATTGGGAATGGAATTTCTGTTAATAAGCGATGCAGTCATAAAGCATGACATCATGTGACCATATTGGCAAGGATGTAATGTGGTTGCCATTTGCAACCTCCTGCTGGCTTCCCCATTGACTTTGCTCGTGGGAAGCTGGCAAAGAAGGTCGCAAATGGTGATCCTGTAACCATGGGATGCTGCCACCATTGTAAGTATGAGGACCAGTCATATCACTTGTTCAGCACTGTTGTAAATTGGAACTGTCACTGAATGAGAGGTCATTAAGTGAGAACTATCTGTAGTGTCAAAAAGGATTGTGTAGTACAGGTGGTCCTTGTTTAATGACTATTCATTCAGCATTTCCTCATAATCACTGAAACATTAATTAATGAAATATTCTACAAATTTGGACAACGGTTCAGCTAGAGCTTCATAAAATCATTTGTTAATATAATCTTATGGAAACTTTTTATAAACCTAGCATGAACCTATGTAAGAAAACAGAGTTTGCATAGATCCAGTATATTTTTGCACCCATGATATATTCTGCTGAAGAAATATAAGAGTCTGTGCTGTGGTTTGAATCAAATGCAGTATTGGTATTTTAGGTATAGCCTAAATTGGCATGGGGAGTATTCTGTATTATGTTGTTTTACTATACCGGTACCAACAATACAGAGATTGACCCATAGATTTGCATCAGAAATCTTTAATTTGAACATAAGCATATACTTATACTCTTCCCAGTTATGACTAATATGATACTGTGATGGACTGAAGAGAATCCTATCTGCATGTGTACCATGTATTGGGGATATGCATCATATTCAACCAAAACCGGTATCCCAAAGTGGAGTGGAATGATTCAGAACAGATTTGCATCCCACCAGAGTAGAATGGTCACATGTGAACCCATTCTCTTCCAAGTACCAACTTTCATGATACTAAAATAGCCATACTAGGAAGGAATAAAGGATGATTGATTGATTTGGTGATTAATGTATAGTGTATGGTGAAGGAGGTCAACTATTCAATGTTATAACAATGAAGACTGTTTTGCAGATGAGTGCTTTTAAAAAAAGTTTTCTTATTGATGAACAAGTAATACAGTACCTTCATAAAATCTGTGTACAAAGCAATCCTTTTTATTTGGACCTAGTTTTTATTTGGTTTCTATATTTTACAGCATAATTTGACTGACTCCACATCCATACTGTATTAGTCACTTACTAAAATTTTCTTCTACCTCAGAACAATCTTTCCTCTGATTAAAATCAGTTTAACAGATAATGTAGAGTCCAAAACCCTGCATGGATTTCACTGAAAATTGTTCCCTCATGTTTTAATTTACTTGCAAATTTCATATTCCAGTGAAAGAGCAATAGTATTACAACCATTTGTTTTTCCCATATTGATCAATGAGACAATGAAGTCCTGTTTTAAAACTGCATTTCAGGACAGGAAAGATATTGATAAACCAGGATGTGTACAGGGAGGACCACCAAGATGTTAAGGGGCCTGAAAAGAAAAACCTGAGGAACAATTGGAGGTGCTGGATATGTTTAGGCTAGAAAAAAGATTTCAGAGACTAAAGCTGTCTTCAAATATCTGACGGATATCAGGCAGAAGACAGGACAGAATTGTTCAGAGTTGTTTTATAAGATAACAGTGAGTTTATGTTACAAAGCAGATTTTGGTTGAACATCAGGAAAAAATTCCTAATGATAAAAACTATTCAACAGTGGAATAGACAGCCTTGGGACATAATGGCTCTTCCTTTATAGCAGGTGCTTAAATAGAGGCAGGGTGGCCATCTGTTAGGGATGCTATATTAATAGCTTTCCAACCCTTACATTCCATGATGCTATGAAATCTCATCTGTAGCTGGAGAATGAGTCAGATCAGACTATCTCCCAGAGCAATTTGGAACAGACAGAGCAATTTCTGGAAATCTGGTCTAGGCTTTCAAAGTTGACTAAGTACTCTCTGCATGCTGTAAATACATATTCATTGTTTTGTTATACAGGTAGTCCTTGCTTAACGACAATTGGGACAGCAACTTCATTGCTAAGTGATGGTCGTTAAGTGAGACATCATGTGACCGCACCGGACCTATGACCTCACTTCCACTGTGGTTGTTTAGCGAATCACCCACGGTCATTAAGCGAGACATCACATGAACTGTGACTTGCGATTTTACCGTCTGCTTCTCCATTGACTCTACTTGTTGGAAGCTGGATGTGAAGCGTACAAATGGCAATCACATGATCACAGGATGCTGCGACAGTCACAAACACACCCCGAATCTTGATCATGTGACCGCAGGGACACTGTGATGGTCGTAACTGCAGGTAAAGTTACCTTTTCAGTGCTGTCATTACTTTGAATGGTCACTAAACAGGGCAGTCATTAAGCGAGGTCTACCTGTAGGGAAGTTTCAAAAGTCAGGCACATCTATAACTTTGAGAGAATGCACCTAAAAAAATTCCATGAAATTAGAACCATAAGAGAGGATTTTATTACCATTTCAAAAGACTAGAAAGGTGATTCCAATTTTGTGTTTTAGGAGATAAGTGGATTAGTAAAGTCATCTTGTAAACAACATTTTTAAAATCACAAAATGATGTAAACATCTTAAGGTAGAAAAGAATTATTTTGTTTCTGTCATTATTAAAAAAAGATGGGCTATTCAAAGAGAACGTTATATAAACACAAAAGCTATAAACTGAGCAAGATTCATATATGTAATTCATATTTAATATTTCTTATTAACTAATATGTGCAAAACACCCTCCTATTTTAGACTATTTATTAAAAATGTCATACATTGTGATTCATAGCCATCATTCAGATTCATAGGGAAAGATATATTGCTGAGCGTGGAAATCTTGCTATTGACATTAGGAAAATGTATGTTTATAAAGTTCTAGTAAAAAGAGTATAGTTAGTAATTACCTTACTGTGGTATCTAATATCCTGCACTGAATACAGTCTTACAAGTATATGTTTGGTGCATGCACACACTTATTCAGTCACCATTGGGAAGCCCATGAAACAGCAATGCTCAGCCTTCAAGAAGGCATGGTGCCTCAATATGCCATATGTCAAGGGAACTGCAGGTATTTCCCAACTGGAAAAAAAAATCCCCAGAACAGTAGCAAGATAAGTCAAATAATGAAATCGGAGTGGTAACCAGCTGTGATGACAAAAACAGATCATCCTACATACTAGGACTCAGTTTTCCTTTCTATCTTATTTCCAGGCTTCAGGAAGAAAAATAATTTGCTCTAATAAATTCACACATTCAAATAATCACCATAGCTCATGAAAAAAACCCGCTCAGCTTCCCTGTTCATGTTGAAGACAAGATGAGATACACACACACACACAGGTTTTGGAACACACACAACAATCTTCTTACAATCTGCAAGTAATTTTTTGACCAGGGGCTACTGTTATGTAAAAACAAATTAATTAAAAGATTGTTTGCAGGTTTGACCTACAAATTTATTTTCTAATTTATGTAAGTCCTCCTGAAGTAATCTCTCTAGTAGATTACATTTTGATTTGTTAAATTTATGTTAATTTCAGCTATGTTATATTTTCCTTTTGCCAAGACTATCATTATCAGAACAAAACTGATGGGACCTCGGAGACGTACCTTTTTGGTAGCCATCCCAGCCCTTTGGAATAGTTTCCCACCTGAGATTCGAGGGATCCCTACTCTTTTAGCCTTCCGGAGGGCTGTGAAAACTTGGCTCTTTCCCCAAGCGTTGGGCTAGGATGGGAGTTGAACTGCGAGGATGTTTGATTTGATGCTGGGGGGAAGAGTATCTGTTTTTAATTATGTTTTATGTATTGTTGTGAGTTGCCTAGAGCCATTGCATGAGATAGACAGCCATATATGTGTGTGTGTGTAAATAATAGTTATTTTATTATAATGTGTGTCTGTGTGTGCATGCACATATATATATGTATGTATATGTATCTATAATGTACATACAAGCCCTGTCAATCAATCAATCAATCAATCAATCAATCAATGGAAACTTTAGATGTGTTCTCACAAAGTTGCTGCTTTGCTTCTTTCCTATTTCTATTTCCCAGGTGGTCTGTACTGTTCTTGATATTAAAGATTTTTAATTCATATTTTATTCTCTTGTTCTTGATTTTGAAGACAATCATAAGTACAGTATTTCTTTTCTTCTTCAGCACTCCTAAAAGCTTACAAGCATTTGTTATAAAATTGCAAACAACTGCTCTGTTTTTCATTTTAGAACACACT